GGGGGGGGGGGAAGGTAAACGTGAGGAGTGCTATGTCCCAGTTAGTGCGTGAAGTTATCAGCCTAAAGACCCTTTATTGCTTTCATAAACTCATCCTCTCCTCCCCAAATACCTTTTATGTGGAGTTTGTTATACTTTGAGTAAGCAGGTAGGTAATTTTTCAGGTAGAAGCATGTAAGCAAGAAGATTACAAAAATCTCAGTAAAGAGCTGCTTTTCTAGCAAGACCAAAAGCTGTCTTGTATCAAAATCGGCGGCTTGATATGAAAAAGACGGATGACCTACTGAAACAGCAAACATGGGAAAGGACTAGAAAAAGTGGAGAAAGTTGGAGAAAAAGCAGTTCTAGCTTACTGAATAACTACTTGGAGCTCAATCTATTTGTTAACAACTATAATAAAGATATTCCTCTTCTGGGCTGGTGCTTACATCCTTGTCAAAAAAACAACTGGAAGGGTAACTCCTAAGCCAGATCTTGCCATCTCTGTACAAAACTACAAAAATACAGCTGTAATACAGATTCAAAGATTTAAGCTAAGTACACAGAAAGGCTCCACTGTTCAAAACAAATGTTGCATGAGTGCTACCTTATTTAGCCTGTCCAAGAGCCAGATACCATCTAGCCAACTATCAAAATTTATGCAGCATGGAAGCCCACAGTACTCAAGATGCAGCTCCACAAATATTTTTGCCTTAGTCAGTCCAAACAAAAAAAAAAAATCTTATGTAGCTTTCTCTTTAATACACAACATTCTCAAATATAATCAGATACATAAACACAAGTACTACATTTCTCTAACAGTTCATTTTTCCCAAAATAGAAGTGCCAATCATGATTTTAGCAGGATGTTTTATTTACCTTTGAGAAGGTTTTGAAAATACCGAGTAGCAGCACTATCCCATCTTTTGGCTGGTCTAGGGAAATAAACACAACCAGTTAATCCACATCATCAAAAATTAAAATGGTAATTTTGGAAAAAACTTTGGATGCATGTAAAAGAAATTATTTCAAGTCATGCCAAATCTTAAGTGCACCAACCAGACCCATCAGCAGAATCTTACTACTTAGAATGTAATTTCAGTCTTGATAATATTGTTTCAGCTCATCACAGAATCACTACAGTTGGAAAAGACCTCCAAGATCATCGAG